GGGACCTGGTGGCGCCCGGCTGGCGGCGCTGGAGCCGGCCTGGCGGGGGTCGGGCGGTGGGTCCCCCTGCTGCTGTGCCTGCTGCAGTCCACTCGAGGTAAGCGCGGGGCCCGCGGGGCGGGCGGGGGCCGCGGGGCGCCTACCCCGGGTGGCAGAGCTCCTGGAAGGAGGGTCGTGGCCGCAGCCTGCCCGCAGCCAGCCGAGCAGGTGCGATCGTACCCGCCCAGCCACCACCCGTTGTCTTCTAAAGTGGAACTTGGGACGAAACAGACCAGAGTCTTTGAAATTCCTTTCCCGGACGAAACTGATCCAGTTTCCTAAGGCCAATGCAACTCCCGGTGAACAGGGAAAAACAGTGGCATTTTAAAAAGCAGCTGCGCTGGTTTATAAAGTCCTGCTTAAGGTTTCCTAAAGGCACTGTCCCCTGCATTAATATGACACTGGATCCTCGCTGTTAGGGGAAGTCCTGCCCTCCGGCGCGGCCCCCATCCCTTCCTCGGGCAGACGGTTTCAGAAGCGCCACACCCAGACTGAGGGGAAGGAGCTCTGGCTTAGTCTGTGCTCTCCTTTTGCTCTTAACAAGCCACCTTTTGTTTCTGGGCTCCCACTGGTAAGTAAGGTGGTACAAAATACCCCAGGCTAGGACCCAACCACCAAACCCCAACCAGTCAGGAGAAGGTCCCAATATTGCCCCCAATCTTAGACTTCCTAGTCTTAGGCTAACAATTTAAGAGCAAGAAGGGCCCTTGGTCATAATTTAATACTAATATTAAAAGCCAACGTTTCTTGACAACTTCTTTGCGCTGGACACCACATTCCCCTACTTAAGTGGTACAACCCAACCATCCTATGAGGTAGGGACTGTCTTCTCTCTTTTCGGTTGGGGAAATTGAGGCTCAGAGCAATCAGGGGAATTGCCCAAGAAGGAAAGCACAGGTGGAACACCTGGAAGAGAAGACTGAGGCTGACGCAAGCGTGGCCAGCTTTGGCTGCCGGGCGGGCAGCTGGAGCAAGACCGTCCATCCACCTGGGTTGGCCCAGGGATGTCCCAGCCCCTGGCACCTCCACAGCAGGAACTGATAATGCAGCTGGCCAAGGACAGTGCACCTGTGTGTATGTGTGGGTGGGGAGGGGATCCTCTGTCCCCCTGTTTCACTGTCAACCTCAATAGTTCTCCTGTCTGGACCCAGCTACACTTTTACCTGAGGAATATTTAATGTACCCGACACAAACTGCTGCGTGTGATGGTTTAGGGTGAAGCGCAGCCAGATCCAGGTTCAAATCTTGGCTCCCACACAAACTGGCTGTGTGGCCTCAGGCAAATTATTTACCATCTGTCTCTGAGTCTAGTGCCCCTGAATGGAAGTGGAATGACACCTACCCCATAGGGTGGTTTGTCCTGAGGATTGAATGAGGTTTTGTGCATAACATGCCAAACCAGTGCTCAGTAGATGGTAACCACTCTAGCTGCTATTTATCTTGTGGGCATGTCCTGCCCACAACATACCTTATAATCTGCTTGCAGACAGACTTTGGTCTCTGCAGCCCACCTGCTAGAAAGCTGGGAACAGTGACAGCATCTGCACCCCCAGTGATCTGGTTCCAAGTGGGGATCACAGGATGAGGTGGAAGCAGGCACCCATATTTGGGTTAAAAGGCCAGGGGTGAGGAGCTGTGCCGAGAACCATCAGTAGAACTGCTCCCCCAACCCGTCCCCCATACCATTCTGTCACCGGTGTGGATTTATGTCACGCCCTGTGTGACACTTCAGGGAGCTGAATTCTCACAGGACCATGAGCTCCTAAAGGGCAGGAATGGAGTTATATTCCTCTTTGAAACTTCTGGCATGCAGTGGTCCACAGATGTCATTAGCCAATAGTGGTTCATAGATGTTGGAAGAATAAAGCTGAATGGGCCCCATGAGAAGCTCAAGGAGGAAATGTGGTCAAGAGCTCAGAATTTGGAGTTGGCTACTAGCCCTGGATTTGAATTCTGATTCTACAACTCATTACCTGACAAGTCCTCTGTTTCCCTCATCTCTAATGTGATGATCACACTTAGTATCTACCTTCTAGGGGTGTGGGGAGGATTGAAAGAAAATGCAACAAAGTACTTAGCATGGCTCCTGGCACATAGTTAGGACACAATACCTGTTAGCTGCTATCATCATCACCATCATCCCCATCACCCTCACTACCACTACTTAGAGATGTCAGGGAATTGACATTTGAATCAAGTCTTTAAAAGATTAGATGGTAAAAAAAAATTTTTTTTAAATGGTGAACAATAGACAGTCAAAGAGTGCTGGGTTCAAAGTCACCCAAGAGATGTAGTAGTTTGAGAAGGACAGGAAGCAAGATTGGCTGCAGCCTCGTGAGCCTGCTGGGGAGCTGTAAGAGAGAGGTCGACAAGATGGCCTGTCATGTACCTCCATAAAGAGTGTGGACTTTATTCTAAGGGCCAGGGAAGGGCATGGAACTGGGGAGGGGTGTAATCAGTGTATATTTCGGAAGATGAGGGTTAGCAGTGAGGAGGAGGTGTCAAGGAGGGGATGTAGGGGCCAGTTAAGGATAGTCAGGGAAAGTGTCACTGAGACAGTGACATCTGAGCAGAGATGTGAAGAAAGCAAAGGCGTGAGTCTGATAGAGATCCAGAGAGGGGGACCAGTCTAGGCAGAGGGAATAGCTCCTGGAAAGGCGTGGAGGTGGAGCGTGCCTGGCATGCTCTAGAAACAGCAGAAAGACCGATGCAGCTGGAGAGCAGGGAGCACGGGGAGAGCAGTGAGTGGGATTAGGTAGGTCTTGGGGCGGGGGGCAGATTATAAAGACTTTGGATTTAACCTTGAATGAAGTGAAAGCCATTAGAGGGTTTAAAGCAGAAGAGCGACTTGATCTGACTTTCATTTTAGCCCTTGTTGCTATGTGGAGAATGGACTGAAAGGACAAGGTTAGAAGCAGGGAGACCAGTTGGAAGGCCTTTGGAATAATCCAAATTATCACAATATTCATTCATTCAACAAATATTTATTGTGCATCTACTCTGTGCCAGGGACCATGGCAGGCAAGCTCTGGGGACATGGCTAAGAAAAGAACTGAGCACCTGCTCCTGAGACCCTCAGGGCTGTTCCCTCCTGGAGTCCAGCAAATCCAATAGATGTTAGATGGTTCCTGTTCGGAGGTGTTCCACTGAAACCCTCAGGTGCCAGATGGACCGCAGAGGCCTAGGGAGGGGAAGGGGCTGCAGTACAAGCAATCAGTGGCCCAGCTATGATTAGAGTCCTGACCCTGGGTGCCCAGCCTACATCATGTCGTCTATGCTTTAGCTACCCCAGATGACTCCTGGTTCTCAAACTCACCGAGCACCTGACTGCCCACCACACCTCTCTTCAGCTCCAAATGGCCCATGTCAAGACCAGCCAGGAGCTCCAGGCTTCATGACCTCTTCTCTCCCACAGGGAAGCCCCATCTGGCCCCTCCCCAGAACGTGACGCTGCTCTCCCGGGACTTCAGCGTGCACCTGACATGGCTCCCAGGGCCTGGCTACTCCCAGAATGTGACCTATTTTGTGGCCTATCAAAGGTAGAGGGGAGCCTCCAGTCTGGTGTTTGGGGAGCCTGAGGAGGAAGGCAGAGGCTGGATGGGCTTGTCTGGGAGTATGTGTGGTCAGCGTCCTGGTTCTGTGTCCCATGGGAGACAGCATGTGGCAGGTGTTTGGAGAGAGCGTTGATAAAGGTCTGGAGGTGGGAATGGTGTTGATTAGGAGACAGTGCACAGGTGTTGGGTCTGCCCGGGCTCGGGAGGATCTTTGAGAAGAGTCAAACAGGGCTCAATTAGAGCTACAAGGGCCCAGGGGTGGAATTCTCCAGGGCCTGGATGAGGTGCTTGGAGTTGTTCCAGCTGACAAGGGAGGGCAGACGTATCTCCTGCAGGGCCCATGGTAGGCATTGCTAGAGGATCACCCTTTTCCCTACGGAGCCTTGAGATCCTTCTCAACCCCGCAGTCCGGGCAGCCATGACTAATCCAGAGAAATCTGAAAATGGAAGCAGATTTGCCGATTTGCACATAAATAGGAATCACTTGAGGTTCTTTAGTGGGAGAGTAAGATGATGAAAGCAGATAGTCAAGAGGACTCATCCAGGATGGGTGAGGAGGAGGAAGCAGGAAGGGGAGGTAAGTGCTGAGTACGCAGGACCCACCTGTTCCAGGCTGAGTGCTAACATCTTGCATGAACATTTCACTTCTTCCTCCCTGTATACCCAGGCTGGCACTGCACTTCCCCATTTATTTTTTTTTTAATTTTATTTGTTTATTTATTTGAGGGAGAGAGAGTGTGAGTAGGGGGAGGAGCAGAGGGAGCATGGAGCCCGACACGGGACTCAACCCCACGACCCTGAGATCAGGACCTGAACCGAAATCAAGAGTCGGACCCTTAATTGACCGAGCCCTGCACTTCCCCCATTTTAGAGACAGGGAACCTGAGCTCAGAGAGGTGCTATGATTTGCCCGAGGAAACCAGGGATGGAGCCAGAAGAAAAACCCCAGTCTGACCCCGAAGCTTATGTGCTTCCTGTTCTTTCATGGTCCCTCCTTCTGTAACATCCAGATGTGAGTGAGGGGGGCCTACCTTGGAAAAGGGCAGATTGCCAGCGAGCTTTCAAAAGAAAGAACTGTACAGAAATGTATCAGGAGGCAGGAAACACCTAACATGTACTGTGTGCTTTGCTGTGTGTCAGGCACTGTGTCCACGCATTAACCGTCCTTATTCTCACACAGCCCCGGGGGGGTGGGGGGGTGCGGCACCTGCCCCCTGCAGGGCAGAAGATGGAGGCACCCAGAATATATTTTGCTCAAAGTCACACAGCTGGGAATAGTGGGGCCGGGATAGATTGATTAGAGTTGAAAGTCCATCCTCCAGACCTTTATGATATCGTCCTTCTCTTTTATACTTTTTCAATACCTGTGAGGATTCTAAAATGATGATATTCTAATTGTATTATTTTTTTCACTTATTAGGTGGAATTATTTTACAAAGAGATGCTTCCTCTCTTGTCGTATTTGATATTCAGTATACTATTCGGATAGGCAAGACAGGACAAATGCTTGATTTTTTTGTGCAAGTTTTCAAGATCATGAATTTTTGTGCAAGTTTTCAAGATCATCTCCCAAAGGCAATTGATTTGATTTTTTAATTATCCTTATGAACTCAAGTACTTAAACATATTTGATGGTTTCAATCCATTGCAACTTGTCTACTCATTAAAGCTTGAATGGTCCCATCTTTGGCCAGCGAAAATCCTTTCAAGTTAGCTCCTGAGTCCTTTTAATTTGAGGCTAGTAGTTTTAATTATTTTACTGCTGTTATACCAAGATGTTTCAGGCTCATTTGTATAACTTCTGACCTAAAACCTGAATCAGCCATTTCTCCATTTAGTAGAAAATGGTTTTAAAGAACACAATGTGTGTGCTAGCTGTGCTGATTACTACTTAGCTATTGCTTTGATCTTTTCAGGAAACAGGGTGAGATTGGTAGGTAGGTAGATAGGTAGAAAGATAATTCTAATCCCACCTCTGTTCCTGGCTTCTACTGAGATGGCTAATTAAGTCCATGAGTCCCGTCCGTGATCTCCTTATGAAATGATTTCCCAACCACACCCTGACCCTTGGTGTTCCTTCTAGAACTTACTTTCTCCTTTTTTTGCCATATGCATAGGCTGAGAATTTTCCAGTTCCGGTTCCTTTTTGCCTAACAGTGCTTTCTACGTGCCTCTCTCCTCTCTCCTTTTACCGTAAGCAGTAAGGAGAAACCAGGTCACATCTTCAACATTTTGCCTAGACATCTCCTTAGCTACATATCCAAGTTCATCACTTTTAACTTCTATTTCCCACAAAACACCAAAACACAATTCAGCCAAGTTCTTTGCCACTTTATAACAAGGATCACCTTTCCCCCAGTTTCCAGTAAGACATTCTTCCTTTGCATCCAAGCTCTTCCAAGAACGACCTTTGACTCCATATTCCTATCAACAGTCTCTTCAGGGCACTCTGGGTATTTCTAGCATGCACCCAAAGACTCTTCCCGCCTCTAGCCATTTCCCAGTTGCAAAGCCACTTCCACATTTTTAGCTATTTCTTACGTTAGCACCCCATTTATGGTACCAAAATCTGTCTTAATCAGCCAGGGCCACCATGACAAAATACTGTAGCCTGGCGGCCTTAAACAACAGACATGTACTTCTCACACTTTCAGAGGCTGGAAGTCCAAGATCAAGGCATCAGCAGGTTTGCTTTCTCCTGAGGCCTCTCTCCTTGGCTTGCAGATGGTCACCTTCTCCCTCTGTCCTCACATGGCCTTTTCTCTGTGTGATAGCATGCCTGGTATCCCTTTCTCTTTCTTAAAGAATGTAAGTCCAATTGGTTTAGGGCCCCACTCTTATGACCACATTTAGTCCTCATTACCTCTTGAAAGGCCCTATCTCCAAGGACCTATACAGTCATATGGGGGGTTAGGGCCTCAGCATATGATTTTGGGGGGGGGAATAAAATTTAGTCCATAATACCTAATAAGCTGGATTTCATCACATTTAAAACTTTTACTCTTAAAAAAAAAAAAAAAAAAGCCTGAAGAAAATGAAAAAGCCAGCTACCGAGAAAAAAAAATTCACAGTATATACACTAGAAAAGGACTAGTATCCAAAATAGATAAAGAACTCCTGCATCTTAATAATAAGAAAACAGATCACCTGAAAAGACTTGAATAGTCACTTCCCAAAGGAAGATATTTGAATGGCCAAAAAGCACATAAAAAGATGTTCAATAGCCTTAGTCATCAGGGAAATGCAAATCAAAGCTACAGTGAAACACTACCACACACCAACTGGAATGGCTAAAATTAAAGGGCCTGACAATACTAAGTGTTGTCAAACGTGGAGTAACTAGAACTCTGTGCATTGTTGGTGGGAATGTACGGTCACTTTGGAAATCAGTTTCTTGTCAAGTTTCACCTTCAGTTACCAAATCTCCCAGATTCTACTCCTAACGCTTTTTAAGAGAAATGAAAACAAATGTCCATACAAAGACTTGTACATGAACATTCATACCAGTTTAATTCATAATAGCCCTGATACGGACTGAAACATACACCCGCATATTCATATGCTGAAACCCTAACCGCCCCCCACCCCACCACAAGAGTGTATTTGGAGATGGGGCCTTTCACGAGGTAATTAAGATTAAATATGGTCATAAGGGTGGGGCCCTAAACCAATAGGACTCTGTGCTAGTATTTTTGTTAATATTTTGTTGATGGTTCATGTTTGGCTCAACTAGTTCGTTCTATTTATGTTCATTAGACCAACTTTGATAATTATGTTTTTCTTTTTTGTGTGTTTTATATACTTGCTGATTATTTTTCTTTGTTCAATCATTAATTACTAAGTGAGGTGTATTAAAAATTTCTCATTATGATTGTGGATTTTCTGTTTCTCCCTATAGTTTTGTCTATTTTTGCTGTATAGAGTATCTAGCTATTTAGCAGGCACATATAAGGGAGAATTTTTATATCTTCCTGATAAATGGAATAATTTCTCATTATGTAGTGATTCTTCTCATCTTTAGTATTTCTTTGGACTTTGAAGTCTATATTTTGTCTCATACTGATATAACTACAACAGGGTTGTTTTTTTTTTTTATTGTTAATGTTAACATACTATAGCTCTACCAAAAAACAAAACAGAGGAGTTCTTTCCAAAAATCTGTTCTCTTTGCCTACGCCCTTCTCAGCCTCCTCCATTCACGTATCGCTTGGTCCCCAAACCCAGGAGTAACCGTGGATTTTCCTCTCCTCAAGTTCCACATCCAATCCATGAGCAGGTCCTATCTGCTTTTACCTCCAAAATATATCCCCAGTCCAGCTGCTTCTCGTCATCCTCACCTGTTTTCCCTTAGATCACTACTGCAGCCTCCCAGCTGGTTTATCTGAGTGACCTTTTATTTTTTTCTTAAGTTTTACTTATTTATTTGAAAGAGAGAGAGAGAACACATGTGCTCAAGAGCCAGTGGGGGAGGGGCAGAGGGGGAGGGAGAGGAAGAGAATCTCAGGCAGACTCCCCACTAAGCACAGAGCCCAACATGGGGCTTGATCTCACGACCCTGAGATTGTGACCTGAGCCAAAACCAAGAGCCGGATGCTCAACCAACTGAGCTACCCAGGCACCCTGAGAGTGATCTTTTAAAAAAAGAAATTAGGTCACGTCAGTCCCCCTATTTGGAACCTTCCAGGGGCTTCCTAGCACACTTGGAATAAAATCCAAGCTCCTTACCGGGATGCGGAGGCCCCACCTACTGTGCCCACCCACTCCTCTGCCCACCTCTCCAGACTGTCCACACCTCTCCCTCCCTTGTCCACTAGTCTGCCGCCATGCTGGCCACCTGGCTCTCTTCTGGACAGGTCAAGCTCCTTCCCACTGCAGACTTCTGCTTTTGCCATTCCTTCTCCCAGGCCTACACCTGGCTCCCTTGCCATCGAGGCCTCAATACTACCTTCCTGGCCTTTCCTGAGCCACCTTTGGCAAGCAGTCCTCCCCCACTCCCCATTACCGCTGCCCTTACCCAGTCCCGGGTTTACCTCGCTGATGGGATGATTGGCTTTCTCCCCCTCCCACCAGAACGTAAGTACCCGAGGGCAGGACCTGTCAGGCGTTGCCAGTTCCCCAGGGATCGTGCCCAGTGTGCAAGTCCCTTCTTTGGACCCTGGTGTTGTCCGAAGGTTGGCATCACAGACCTGCGTGTCCCCTCTGACAGCCACACAGCATCCAGCACGATGCCTGGCATGCAGCAGGGGGCCTGAAAGGCCTGAGTGAAGAACGTGGGAACTGGTTGCTAGCACTCGCAATAGCAGCCACCACGTGGCCCTGGGGAGGCAGGAGGATGAGGGGGGTGACCTCCTGAGGCCCCAGAGCTAGTGAAGGACAGAGCCAGGATCCCACCACCTGCTTCTCTCCAGAGTCTGAGCTCCTAACTAGACTCTCCAGAGTCTGAGCTCCGGTAGGACAGACGGATGGGTGGACATTCGGGCAGATGGAGGGACAAGGGAGCACGTGTCTGCTAAGCAACCTTGCCCCAGAGGCAGAGTCCACAGCCCAGGCTCCCCTGTCTCCTCCCTCAGCGCTGCAACCCCCAGACGGTGGCGAAAAGTGAAGAAGTGTGCAGGAACCAAAGAGCTGGCATGTTCTTTGATGTGCCTGGAGAAACAAGACCTGTACAACAAGTTCAAGGGGCGTGTATGGGCGGTTTCTCCCAGTGCCAGGTCCCCCTCGGTGGAGTCCAAGTACCTGGATTACCTTTTTGAAGGTAAGTCTGTGGCTAAGGGACCTGGTGGGAGACTCCCTGTCCAGGAACTTGGCTAAGTGGCACTGCTGTCCCGGCCACCGTCTCCCACCTCCCCAAAGCGGAGGACAGCCGCATGTAGCCTGGCTTTGTGGCAGGGGGTTAGGGGACTTCTGCCAGTAACAGCAATTCCGTTTGCACTCCTCCTAGTGATCTTCTTTATCTTCTAGCGAACACAACCTTAGTCGTGAACTACACAAGGCATTTTATATACTTACTCCTATTTTTATGCTCAGATTCTCTTTAAGAAACAATTTTGGGGGGCACCTGGGTGGCTCAGTCAGTTAAGCGTTAGGCTCGGGTCATGATCTCAGGGTCCTGGGATCAAGCCCCAAGTCAGGCTCCCTGCTCAGTGGGGAGTCTCCTTCTCCCTCTCCCTCTGCCCCTTGTCACCTCCCCCCACTTGTGCTCTCTCTCTCTCAAATACATAAGTAAAATCTTTAAAAAAAAAAGAAAGAATTTTTTTAAATTCCAGTTTCAAAAGTAACTTCTGTACACTGTAGAAATTGGGGCAGGGGAGAGAAGGAGAGAAAAATAGAGAGGAGAGCATCCGCCATGTGTCCCACATTCAGAAATCACCAGTGTTAACACTGAGCCAGGAGAGCACTCTTCTTTTCCCAGTATATTTTATTTCTAATCCTAACGACAAACCTGTGGGGTTCATTTTCATTAACCCATTTTTTAAAAAATAAACAAAGTAGGATTCACAGAAGTTAAGGAACTTGCCAGGATACACAGCTAATAAGGGGTGGAGATGGAAGGAGAATCTGGATCTTTCTAATCTTGGTCATGGTACTAGACCAGACCAAGAGGGAGGTGGGGTGGTAAGAAGGAGAAGATAAATACTCCAACAATAGCCTCACGGAGCTGAGATCTGTAACTTGCTACCCAGTCTTCTCAAAATATGTGAGAGCAGAATAAGGCTTGGAGAGAGAGGTGGAAGGGCTTGAATGAAATTGTCCAGGGGGAATAGTAGAAAGGAAGAAGAGCTGACCTGGGTAGGAGAAGCTGGCTGGGTGGATAAGAAAGGGAGAAAGATGTATGGGTAAGAAGAAAGGCAGCATGGAGGGGGTGCAGGAGGTTACGGTGGAGGAGGGAAAGGAAGAAGGCTATGTGGAAAGACACATGTGTTGATGGGAAGATGGAGGACAGGAAGCAAAGGCAGATGGATGGATCCATGGGTAGATAGAAGGCTGGGAAGAGGGAAGAGATGGAAGGACAGGAGGAAAGGGGAGGCAAAGGAGGAAGGAAGGGAGGAAGAGAGGACAAGAAGATACGATGTATGGAACATAAAGAAGAATGGATGGGTGAGGAGGAAGGAGAGTAGGGAAGTAGCGGCTTGGCTAGCCTAAAGGCAGGAAGACAGTCTAAAGGAACAGGAAGAAAGAAAGGAGTGTTGGTTGGAAAGAAAGGAAGGACGGGCAGGCAGGCAGCCAGGCAGGCAAGCTGGAAGAGCGAAGGATGAACCAATAGTTGGAGGGACAAGGGGAAGAGATTAGGATAGAAGGAAAGATGCAGCGAGGAGGTTACTTTGCTATTACTATTAATTTTGTGTTTGCCTCCTCCTCCCTGAAGCTCTCCTCACTCTCCCGCAGCACACCCCAAGCCGGAATGAGCCTTCCTGCCTTTTGCCACCCTCGGCTGGCGCCCTGGTCATTTGCTTTCTTGAGTTTTGGTAGCTTGTGTATTTCATTGCCCCCTAATTTCCTCCAGCTTCTGGAGGTCAAGATCCCCGTTCCCTCCAGCTGCCTGCTCAGGGCTTAATATGTTATCAGTGGCCCCTGGACTCTGACCTACAGAACTGGGAAATAATGCGTGCGTGTTGTTTTAAGCCACCCTGTTTGTGGTGATGCGTCAGCAGCCGTAGGAAGCTGATACAAGTGGGCAGGATTCTGACAGTGGTACGTGAGGGCACCCAGGTGCAAGGGGCAGCAGGAGGAAAGACAGGTGAGCTGTGAGTCTGGCCTGTTCATTTCACCTCTCTAAGCCTCAGTTTGCCCTTCTGGATGATGAGAATAGTGCTATCTGCCTCCCAGGGTCACTGCAGAGCTGAAATAAAATGGCTTTAAGGTTCTTGATGCATAGTAGGTGCTTTACAAACACTGGAGCCACTTTCCCCTTCCAGGAGTGTTCTCTGGGCTGGGGGGAGGGGGGTGTGGTGTGTAGCAGGGGGCAGGGGGATGGAGGCTGACAGGTCCTGTTCTGGTTCTGCCAGTGGAGCCAGCCCCCCCTGTCCTGGAAGTCATTCGGACAGAGGAGATCCTGAGCGTCAATGCCACCTACCAGCTGCCTCACTGCATGCCCCCACCGGATCTGAAGTATGAGGTGGATTTCTGGAAGGAAGGCATCAGGAACAAGGTAAGAAGCCCCTTTCCTGCCCCCAGGCTGGACCTCCGTCCCCACGGCCCCTCCAAACCCCAGTGCCTCTCACCCTCCCTGCCTACTTTCTGCACACCTCCTCCAGGAAGCCCACCCCACATACCTCTCACTCCTGGCAGTCACCCCCTGACTCTGTACAATACAACTGGCCTGTGGCCCACGCTTGCCCTTCTCCACCTAAGAAGCCAGTATGGGACGTCCTGCCCCTGCGCATTATAGGTGGTCACAGCACACCTGTTTTCTACCCAATATATATTTTTTTAAATTATGAAACCCTTTTGGTCCAATGAAATCTGATTGAAGTATGATAGGCTGTAGGAGGCCCGCTCGCCAAAGCACTGGATTCATTACCAAAAAAATCAGAAAGCACAGATACATTCCAGGAAGGAAACTAGAAGTACTCAGAGACTACCACAAATATGCCCTTTCAGACTTGTTTCTCGTGCGTGCACGTGTGTGTTTCTGTACACATTGATTGACGGCCGGGGTTGGCAGACGTTTTCTGGAAAGGGCCAGATAGCAGATATTTTCTTCCTTCAAGGGTCAGGCGGCCTGTCCAGCTAGTGGACTCTGCCTCTAACCCACAAAGCAGCTGCAGACAATGGGGCGATACACGGGCATGGCCGTGTTCCGGGGACTTTTTTTTGCTCTGTGCAAAAAAAAAAAGCAGCAGGCCAGATTTGACCCATGCGCTGTAGTTTACTGACCCCTGTTCTTATTCCCTCCTTCTTTCACTGAGCCCACCAACATCCACGCTCCTGACCTCCTGCATATGTACTCTGGACCCTAGATCCTCCTCTGACATAGTCCCTGCCTCCCAGAGCATCACAAACATCCTAGACCAGCGCTGTGCCACGCATGTAATTTTCAATGTTCCTCACTAAATTACGTAAAAGAAACAAGTTCATTTCATTTTAATAATCTATTTTATTTCGTCCAATAAAACGTTATCATTTCAACATGTAAATCATATAAAAGTTCCTGGCACGCTTGGCACTCTTTTTTCATGTCGTCTTTGAAAGCCAGTGTGCATTTTATACTCAGAACCCATCTCAGTGTGGACCAGTGGCTGCTGGACTGGGCGGAGCAGCCCTAGAGTTTTCTGGGTCCGTAAGGACTGAATGATGCTCTCTACCCCCAGATACATTGGGAGGCCCTGAGGGCAGGAAGCCGGAGGAATCTGCCCTTCAAAACGGGGACCCGCAGGCCCCTGGGGGGTGCACACGAGGGTGACCCTGAGTGGCAGGGCTGCTCTTGAGTGCACACCGTCTCTACTTCAAGACTCAGTGGGGAAGACACCAGATGATGTTGCTCCCCAATGCTGAAACTGTAAGGCGGGCAAAGAAGACGCGGGGATCACTGGAGTATCCTCCCGGCCCCACCCTGTCCTGTCCCCACAGCGGGTCTGCCCACCCCCCTGCTGTCTCTCCAAACAGACACGATTTCCGGTCACTCCCCGCGGCCAGCCAGTCCACATCCCCCTGCAGCCAGCCACCAGCGGACACCATTGCCTCAGTGCTAGAACCATCTACACCTTTGGTGATCCTAAATACAGCGACTTCTCCAAGCCGACCTGCTTCTTCCTGGAGGCCCCAGGTGAGTGCCAAGTGATACGGAGGTGAGGACCCCCCCCCCCGCCACCGCACATATTATCTCCATCCTATGGCGGTTAAGGGCATGAGTCTAGAGATAGACTTCCCTCAGTTAAAATCCCAGCTCCACCGCACGCACTGTGTGTCTTTGGGTAGCTTACATCACCTCTCTGAATCTTGGTTTCCATAGTCTGTAGGATGGGTTTACTCTTAGGAGGATTACATGGGATGATGCATGTGAAGCCCGCAGCACATATACGGTTATAGGTGGGAGCCATGGTCATTGTTTCTGTTCTTTTTTTTTTTTTTAAGATTTATTTATTTATTTGAGAGAGAGCGCGCACACAAGCTGGGGGGGGAGGGAGGACAGAGGGAGAGAATCATTTAAGCAGACTCCCCGCTGAGCACAATCCCATGACCCTGAAATGATCATGACCTGAGCCAAAACCAAGAGTCAGAAGCTCAACCAACCGAGCCACCCAGGCACCCCATGTTTCTGTAGTTCTTATTTTTCATTACTTAGGAGCCAGCTGGGCATTCCTGGTGCTGCTACCACTTCTGCTTCCCCTGCTGTTGGTCATTGCCATAGGCTATGTGATCTGGAAGCGCTTCAGAGAGAACCCCTGGTTTCAGCGGGCAAAGATGCCGTGGGCCCTGGTATGGCAAGTCTGGGTGTGTGCAACAGAGGGGGAGGGTTGTTGAAGAATAAGGAAATGGGTCTGGACTTAAAGACATGAGTCAGATAGAGTGTCAAGATAGTCCAGACTGCAAACATCTCCTACCTTCATGTCTAAATTTCCACCATTAGTAATTCATTCCTTTGGCACCAAATTCAAATGGCAAATATACCTGGGAGGGAGAAGTGCTGTAAGTCCCCATAGTGAAATAACTTCATCTCTGCTATGGATTTGTCAGATGCCAAGAGCAGAGCCCCCAGCCTTGGGACTCAGGAGGAGTACCCAGAAAGGGGAGGGGCAGAGGGTGGTGCCAAAAGGGGAAATCTTAGAAGGATCCCAACACTTAGTTCACAGTTTAACCGAGGGTGAGTCTTGCCCAGGCTGACCCCGGAATCTCCTTACTTGTCTGCTGGCTCACTCCCTTAGAAGCTGGGACAGGGGGAGGCCTGGAGAGATCAGATGGGTCCGACTTGTTCGAACGAGGGCCCAGCGAGGGTGGCTAGGCCATAGGTGTGGCTCAGTGGGCTCTCAGGTCAGGACGGCTTTGAGGATGGATTCTGAGTATCTGCCACACAGGAGTGTTTTTAACGTCCCTCGCTCTGGGAGCTGCAGGGAAATCCCAGCTGAACTACAAGCTCTGTGTTAGACATTTCTGTGCTCTGCCGCACCCCTCCGCCTGCTCTTTACATGGAGAGTCACCACTCAACTTCCAGTAGCCAACACCTGCCGCGGGGGAGGGGGGGGTGCTGCCTCTGGCCTCTGGTGTCCACTGCGCCCATGCATGTGGCCGGCCGGGGAACTGGCCTCGCTCTCACCCTTGCCACCCCTCACCCGACGGCGCCCTGAGGTGCGTGGGCTGCACTGGCTCCCAGCTGCCCTACGGGTAACTTGCCTGATGACAGCCTCTCTTGGTGGCTCTCCCCAGCCCCACTGAATTTTCCCTTACTGGGGTTTCCTGGGATCACTTCCCCCACAGAACTACTTACATTTGACTCCTTGTCTCGGGGTCTGTTGTCAGGGGAACCCATCCTTCAAGAAAGCCTGAATTTTCTGTTCTTTCCTCCCCTTCCCAAATCAGGACTTTTCTGGGTACAGATACCCCACGGCAACCTTTCAGCCCAGTGGCCCCGAGTCCCTGGATACCTTGACCCTCTGTTCCCAAAAGGAACTGACCAGAAGGGTCAGGCCAAGCCCTGGAGTCAGGACCCCAGCCACCGTCCAGGCAAGATCAGAGAAGAACAGTGCTGAGGAGGAGGAGGAGGAGGAGGACACAGACGACAATGTCAGCTTTCAGCCCTACCTTGAACCACCCCCCTTCCCAGGGCAGGAGCACCAGATCCCGGGGTGCTCTGAGGCAGCTGGCACCTGGAGTCCTCCCGTCCAGGTCGAAGGCTCCTCTGCTGCGGATGCTTCAGACAGAAGCTGGGCCAGCACGGGGGGCTCCTCCCCCTGGGATGAGCCTGGGTCCTCTTGCTATTTGGCCAAGAAGAAGCCAGGCCAAGGGCCAGCTGGGGACGGGTGTCAGGAGCCTCTCCCACTGCCTGAATTCTCCAAGGACTTGAGTTTCCTGGACAGTCCCCTGAAAGATGACCTCTCCTCCTGGGCCAGCTGGGGCTCCTCAACACCAGGGCTGAATCTGGTCCCTGGGGAGCCCCCAGTTACTCTTCACACACTGACCTTTTGCTGGGACAGCAGCCCTGAAGAGGAAGAGGAGGAGGAGGAGGAGGAGGAAGAAAGTGAAGGAGGAGGAGGGGGAGGAGGGAGGGAATCAGAAATTGAGGATGATAGTCCTAGCAACTGGGGGGCTGGGAGCCTACGGAAGACTGAGGTCAGAGGTGGGACACTGGGGCATTACATGGCCAGGTGAGCTGTTCCCCAGCTTCCCTCCAAGTCTGGTGCCACTGAGCTTTCCTAGGACCTGAGATGCCACCGAGACTTGAGAGCCTGGGAGCATCACCACTGAGGCCGTGGAGGGTTCTTGCAGCATTTCGGAAACCCCAGGGTTGGTGTCAATTAGCTTGAGCAGTAAGAAGCCACCCCATCCTTTTTGACTCACCGACTTTGGGCTGAGCTCCAAGAGAGGTGGAGACAAGAATGGGCTGAGGTCAGAGGTTGATTGGGTGTCGCATCACCCCATCGGCTTTGGGGTGACAGGCCAGTTAGAAAAATCATCCCTGAAAACATGAAACAGGTGAAGTCAGGTCACAGTGGACACCAAGGGCTAACACCACAAGGGGCCATCTGGATCTGGAGGGAGGGAATTTGGAGCACATCTTTATCAGTGTCATGCCTTTCTCTGGCACCTCCTGAGCACCCCCACCCCCAGGTCCCAGCCTCCTGGTTCATGAGTCCTCGAGGGTGGGCCCCAGTGAAGAAAAATCTAGTAAGCCAGGGATGTTGGACAGGAAGGGAAAGGGTAGTCATTATTCAAATTCCAGCCTCTGACTCAGGGAATTACACAGCTTTTATGATCAGATGACCTGGCTTCAAATCCCAGCTCTGCCATTTACCAGTCATGTGACTTTGGGTAAGCCACCTTCCTTCACTGTACCTAGGTTTTCTCACCTGCAGCTGAGAGTCCCAAGAGAGAGACGTGTAGTATGGTGGCTGTCACATCACTGGTACCCTCTGCACGGTGGCTGGTAGGATTCTCCATCCTCCCAGGCTCTGAGAGGACTGCAGGGCATCTCCCACCTGTGACCCCTAAACTCTGAGCGACTAGCGTTCACCTTTCAGCTGGTCTCACCTCTCATCTACCTCCTGCCTTCTACCTTCACTTCCTCCCTCCTCCTGGTCAGGAAACTGCACTCTCAGAAAGCCAGAGCCCAGCCAAGAGGGACCCTGACCCCTCTCCCCTTTCCCAAAAAGAAGGAACCAAATGATCCACCTTCCAGGGGTCTGATTTGTTGGGGTTGGGGTCACAACCTGGCAGAGAACTAGACTCGTGGGCCTGTGATCCCTGTTTTAGACAGCACTTTAGACTCTTTGATTATAAAGAAGTCCCATTTTCCCTTCTAGTTGTGAGAATCCAGCACCTTCTGGCAGCGTTATGTTAAAAGGTATGGGAGAAGCAGTAAAGTGTCCCCCAAACTGAGAGGGCACTTTGAGGCCGGGAAATGAAGCAGGCCGCTGCATACAGTTTTCACAGAGTTTTATTCAGGGTAACTCACTGACGGGGCGCTTGGGCGGACGATGTTCCGTGCAGAGACATATTTACTCTCTGGGAAATCCAGGCCTCAGTCCGCAGGTGTGATAGAGCCAGGGGACGCTCAGAAGGGCATTGTGGTGAGATCAGAGGGTCTGCACACACCTCAGAGGGCTGGAGTGCACCTCTGACAGCTAACCTTTCATCAGAACCTGTGCATCAGGAAGGGGAAAGACTATGTTGTCTCTAACAGGTTCATGGGAGGCCAAAACAAGCCTCCCCCCCCATCCCAGCCCTGGTGGGCATTTCTAAGGTATGTATATGAATCTCCAAGGGCCTAGAACACATAGCTTCAAGAGAGGTCGTGGAGTGAACATGAACAAGATGGAGGGCCAAAGATGGAGTCAGTATGGTCAGCGCTCCTACAAGGTGACGATCCTTACCTGGGGGCTGGTGAGGGGTGTTCTCAAACCACTGTCTTATTAACCCATACCCACCAGTGTATGGGTGAGCAGAGCTGAGTTTTTACCCACAGGGACCAAGATTTTTGTCATTTTGTGGCTGGGATCTGAACCATCGTGGTTCTGTGACCTGGGCCCTGCCATTTAACTGCCAGGACTTAGATTTCTCCATTTGTGAAGAAAGCGTCTTTGTAGCCATTTTACCCACAGAGGTGTGCTGTTTTAAAGGCAACATGAAGGTTTACCGTTAAATGAAAGATCTGGAAAAGGGCATCTGCTCCAGGGGTTCTCGAGCCACATTGAGACCGTTCTCAAACGGTCTTGGGTTTCACAGGACGAGTCTCAATTGCAGGGGATCCGTGGTCCATAGGACCCCCCACTTCCACCAGAGCGGCCTCCCTGAGCCCTGGCGCGCCCCCATGGCCTTCCGTGTGAGGCTGTGCTTAGGGAGCTCCACTACTCAAGAAGTTAGCAAACCACTTTTTTTTTTTAGATTTTATTTATTTATTTGAGAGATAGAGAGAGAGAGCACAAGTGAGGTGAGGGGCAGAGGGAGAAGCAGGCTTCCTGCTGAGCAGGGAGCCCGATGCGGGACTCGATGCCAGGACCCTGAGACCATGACCTGAGCTGAAGGCAGATGCTTAACAACTGAGCCACCCAGGCGCCCAGCAAACCACTTTTTTAATTGAATACCTGTCTTTGTTTCAAACAAAGAAATGTCAACTCACTATATATGTCCCTACGGGTGAGATCTTTGGTCTCTGGCCAGCTGGGCCAACCACTTTGCCCTTGGCCTTGTCAACAAAATGCCAGGATCTCAGCAAGTATTTCCAGGAGCACAAACTGGCAAGAGGCCTTCACCACTGCTGGGACTCAAACATCCATGCACGCACACACACACATGCACACACACACACGTGTACATGTCTGCAGGAGCTGAGGCTTGTCCACATCCCTAAGCACAGAAGAAGAAGAACCTCAGCATGCTGAGGTTCTTTCTGGAACCCAGCTGAGCTGCTTCGTGGAAGTAATTTCGAAACACTAAAAGCTGTCATCACTATTGTCTTAGGCCTCTGTGAAGGAACCACATTATCTCTTTTCTTAAACCTTGTTATTTAAAAAGAAGAAAAAGAAAAAACAGCCTTGTGTTTGTTTTTTTTTTTTAAGCAAGCTTTCAAAGTTTCATTTCTGAGAGAGGCTGAGCTTTTTAGTAATTCTCAATGCCAGCTCTTTTATCCTTAAATCATTAACAAAAAGCCGTGGGAAGCATTGGGAAAGAGCATGATATTCAATATCATAATTTGCCAGGTGTGCTCAGCACTTAACTGTTTACAGAGCCCTCTCCTGCACACAGTGGCCGCCCGGGAGGTGCATAGCCCGAGCTCGGGGGCCACGTGGAAGGATGGGTGGGTGATGCCCTATGCGAAAGCAACATTATGATTCTTTAGCACACTGAGATTATGCATTGTTCTTAGGTATTTGTATTCGTGTCTAATTTTGTTCTATGTTGATAACATATTTAAATAATTTCCTAATGGTCTTGGGTATTTACCCTAAATTGTTCTAAATAAAAAGCTCTATTTTTAGAGAAAACGGCAGGATTGTATGGAGATGTGTGTGCTCTTATTTCTCAAAAGCTCCTCCCCATTCATCTAGCTCTTAGATCACAAGGGTCTTGGGTTGGGTCCCCAGCAGCAGACCCAGAGACTAGGATTTGGGGGTATAAAGCAGTGCTGTGTTTCCAGAAAGCACCAATAGGGGAGTGGGAAGCCAGGCAGGGAGGGAAGGCAAACTGTCCAGGTACATAAACATATCACTGTTCTGGGCAACTGGGGCTCAGTCCCCCTGGAGGGCTTTGGGGGTTCAGTGTGGGACTCTCCAGATTTGTTCAGCCAGGAGCAGGAGCTGGGTGGGGAACGTATCCACAAACCCTGTCAGTCCTGCCCCCACTCCCACCCCCCGCGCGAGTCCTCGATCTGTGCTGTTGAAATCCATCAAGCTGAGTGCATGAGAAAGATGAGTGCCGTGGGGGCGGGGGAAGAATACCCAGGTCACCAGCTACAGTGAGGCCCAAGCTGTACCCACAACCCTGGCATTGCACCCTATTGCAACAATGGTCCAGGGAAGGATACAGAACATCCTCCATGGCTGGCCTTGCAAACCTGAATTCATTCCAGTAGATCACTGCTGAGAAGAAGCTCCCAGCTTCCAGTGACTCTCCCAGGACCACCTAGGAACTGACCAGCACGGTGCCTGCTGATCGTCATCATTTACCGGGGCCAGGGCAGATGCTAGACCCAACCTGAGCTGATCCAACAAGTCCCTCTCCGTGGAATTCAGAAGTCTTGGCTGCCTGGATCTACAACAGGTAAGTTCCAACCTGCTGTGGCCCCATCGCCCTCTCCAAGGAGCAGGAAAGCACAGTGTGCAGAAAAAACAGGAATGTGGCAGCCAGGTGAGCTGCCGAGATGACAAGCGATAAACCCTGGCTCCCGTCCATTCCTGAGGCCCAGCTACAGCCCTGTCCCTGGCTTCCCAGCAACATAGTTTTTTGGGTTTTTTTTAAAGATTTTATTTATTTATTTGACAGAGAGAGACACAGCAAGAGAGGGAAGACAAGCAGGGGGAGTGGAAGAGGGAGAAGCAGGCTTCCCACTGAGCAGGGAGCCCGATGCGGGGCTCGATCCCAGGACCCTGGGCTCATGACCTGAGCCGAAGGCAGATGCTTAACGACTGAGCCACCCAGGCACCCCCAGCAATGTAGTTTTAAATCAGCTCCCTGGACTGCCTGTTTCTTGTAACCGAATATCCTTGCCAACTCACAAAGAGACCATCCATATTGTAGCTTGTGGTGAGGTTGGAGCGTCTGACCCTTGAATGGATGTGCAGTAGGTCCTTCCCAGAAAACAGGGTAGAAGTTCCTCTCCAAGTGATCCCAATCACCTCCGACTCCACCTTCTGAAGCCAGGTCACCTTTGGAGGGTCTCTTAGACTGTTTGCTGCCCACCTTCCGGCCAGTGGTGGGTTTACAGGGCCGCTGGATCGCACGGGTTCCTGGAACTGGGAGAGGGGAGGTTTAGGGTACTGGGCATTACATCCTGAGAACTCCTTTAGGGAAGGGACTGTTTTCCTCCTGGCACCAGCACCTCGCGTAGGGTGGAAGCTTGGTATTGAAAAAATTAATGAAGGAATGAACGAGTGAATTAATCTATGAACTGGAGTCAGTAAGGGGCTGGCTATGGCTGAGTTATATATAAGGCAGCCAGAGATCTTGCATATTAGATGACACCATCCCAGATCCCAAATTCCTGCCGCATGTGAATCAGTGCCACTCAGTGAGTGAAATGGCGAGGAAGGGAGCAGATGTGGAAGACAAAACAGTACCCTCACCCCCTAACTGTAACTTCTTATTTCCCATCGTTTAGGACTTGATCGTTGGCTATTTGCTTACAGCTTCCTTAAACTCATTCACTGTGTGCACCAAATGGGGCTAACGTGATGAGAGTTTGGGGGGTTAAAAAAAAAAAAAGACCAGAAAGTGTATCTACATGAGTGAGTCAGTTCCACGAGTCCATTACTCAAGAGATACTGGTTGGCCCCAGGACCCATTCCAGCCCAGGCAGCCCCACCCCTTGGCACATGATGATACATAATGCAGAGGTTTGACAGCTTTTTATAAATTATCAAGAGGTTTTTTTTCCCCCCTTCCCTGCCTCTCTAAGTGGGTGAGGAGGAGGAGGCAGGGATCTTAAGGTAAGAACATCTCGGAGTACCATGCCTTGGAGGGAAAAACCATGAGCAGGTGGTGGGAGGCCCCTCTCCAGGTGTCAATGCCTCCAGGGCGAGTCCCATCCATTCTGGCAAAGCATAGTCCACCCCACCGTAAGCCTTGGCTTCTCTGGGCACTACGTAGACATCTCAGCAGCCAGATCCCAATAGGGGCTCAGACTCCCCGCACCCCAGCTCCTATCTCTGAGCTCCAGGCCCTGTCATGGAATGTCCTCCCCCACTCCAGCCACAGAGCTTAATCTCTAGGATGCAATGCCCTTGCTTCTCTCATCCTTTGGAATTTGGCCTCAGAAACTACAGACAACTCAGATTTCTTTTTTTTTTTTTTTAATATTTTATTTGACAGAAACACAGCGAGAGAGGGAACACAAGTAGGGGAGAGGGAGAAGCAGGCTTCCCGCTGAGCAGGGAGCCTCATGTGGGGCTCGATCCCAGGACCCCGGGATCATGACCTGGGCCGAAGGCAGACGCTTAACGACTGAGCCACCCAGGCGCCCCGCAACTCAGATTTCTAAGAGAAATATCACTCCCGCCATCCCCACACCCAGACACCCAGGAGTCCGGGTTTTTGCAAAGGTTTTTAAAGGCCCTCCCTTGGTCTTTGGTTCCTCATTTTGCAATAGGAGGTTCCGGTGAGAGCTCCTCCTCAGAAACTGTCTAGAGACATAGGCGTGTTTAATCCTCCCAACAACACTGGGGAATAGAGATTCTCACTTCCCTTTTGCAGATGAGAAAGCTGGGCGTCAGAGATTAAGGCACCTGCACACCTCAGATTCAGTGACAGAGCTGGGATTCGAACCCGGGTCTGTCTGCCCAAAGCACACGTTCTGTTCACTTCCTGGTTCCCGGGGCACATATGAAACTGGACCCCCAGTTCTAGCATGAGACACAGATCTCCTTAATGTTTTGATAAAGAAGCGTGGTCTTCTAAGCATGTAATAAGCTTCAGGAATTCCTTACCCTGAGAGAGAGCTGAAATTATAAGCAGAATCAATAAACATTGAGCTAAAATTGTGTTTGTGTGACTGACAGTAGCCATGAAGGGAATTCTGGAATGTCAGGGGAGCTTTCCAACCCCAAAATGACTGCTCAAACCCCAAGGACCCTTAGAGGACTTCTAGACCAAGCCTCCTTTACAAACAAAGAAACTGAAGCCCAGAGAGGACACAAGACCCATCAAGGTCACCTGGAGTCAGGTGCAGGTTTGGGAGCAGAACCAGGCTCCTGACCTGAAACACTAAGTAAATGTCCCTGATTGACACAGCCCCAGCTTAGAACCAGGGGCTCCAGGGTGAGTCTGATTCTCAGGCTCTTCTCTAAGAAGAGGCTTAAGGGTGGGCTGCCAGGGCTTAGTTCCTTGCTCTCACCATCCATGAGCGATCAGGGACCCCTTTCAGGCTCTCTCACTGCTGAGTTATCAACCAGGGGTACTCTCCCCTCCCCCAGCGCACACCCCACCGCCCTCTGGTGTTCTTCCTTCTGCAAAACAGGTTCTGACATCCCTGGGTGTTGAA